TTTAACTCTGCCCTCCCTCTCCCCCTTTTTTCCCCAATTAATTCCTCTAATTCAGGGTTATGGGAATGATCGTGAGAGGTCATGAGTCACTGTTTGCTGACGCAACTATGAATTTCGAGACTGGATTTATTTAATCCCATTGCACAACGACTTTCGAGGAATTTATTTAACCCTTTCGAGATGTATTTATCTTTTTGGACTTATAAAACGTTATAAGCTGGGAACTTTCAAACTTGCACTTTCAAATTATGCACAAAATTCTGCATAAATTCATTGATTTATTATAATATCAAATTTCTTGAATTTAAAATTTTATGATAGATGCAAGTTGAGCACAGATGTATAAGTTTAAAAGAAAGTTCAGAAAGTTTCATATTTGAAATAACAATGTTTAAATGTAAAGAATATCTTTAAAAATATTTCTTGATAATACGATATCGTATTAACATATATAAAACGTAGTATATCTTTTTTCATAGATACTTTTCGTGAAAAATTTTTAAAATAAAATTAAAAAGAGAAATTAATTTTTTAAAATTCGTGGATGTATTTATCTAAACATCACGTTGATTCGTACAAACCATGTGGAAATTTTTTTTAAGCATAATTTATCAAAATTAATTTTAATTAATTTAAATTTATCGTATACAAAAATTTTCAAAAAAAGTACACACGTTGTTAATCGTAATTTTCATTTCTATAAAACAATCTCAATTTCTTAATTTTCCTATTTTAAAATATCGTAAAATAATTCTTCAATTATTCACCCCAAAATAATATAGATTTAAAAATTTATACCTATAAATCCGCGTAATTAATTAAAATTTAACGAGCTTTTCGATTAAAGAGAACGTTCACGATCAAATTAACTTAATCATAGAGATATTTGCACGCGCTTTTTCATAAAAAAAAAAAAAAATATTTATGATCATCGTTTAAGCGATGACTGAATAATTCGAACTAGACGTAGTTTGCGAAGACCCATAATACCGGAAGCCATAAATGCTCGAAACATACGCGTGTGTTACGTTCCTGATGTATACGCACGAGGTGAGGTAAAATCGAGTGGAAGCAAAAGGAAGGACAGTTCCTCCATGTGTCTACAATCTATCAAGGTAAAAATGCAAAATTTATGCAGAACTCGACAAGTTGGCTCGTTGTAAACTCGCTGAGCTTGACAATTTGCATGATAAAAAATTTATGTTGACAAAAATCTTGATAATCAGTTAACAGGGATTTCATGCATATTTGCATGAACGACATACATGTATTTTAAGTGACATTATTTAGTTATTTTGATAATTATTTGAATTTGATGAAATTGAAAATTTGAATTGAATTAAATGAAAAATAAATAGATAGAAATGTAGATAGTGTAATAGTAAGTATTTATATAATTTTCTATAAAAATAATTTACATTTTACGATCAAATAATTTTATCTTAACTTTATAATTAAATATTTCATAATAAAAATATTATTATTATTCGAAATTTCGATTTCGTATCACTGAAATTGTTATTTCTTTTCTAAAAACATTTTCAATAAATATTGGAACCAATATAGATTTATTTTTGTTGTGCATTTCTATCTATAAAATTTCTTTTCCAAACGATTTTTTCGTTTGAATAACTTACAAACAATTTAAACATCCAATTCGAATCATTCTACCTACACACACGACAATATTTTAAAATTGTTTTATAATCGTGACGAAATACACATCGTAGATACGAGAATAATTTATAGTGAATTTATAATTTTTAACGAATCAAAGAAAATCACAATATTGAGATCAATGTTCGATGGAGTAGAGATATTAATATTTAATGTTGGAACGCTTGTAAATATTATTACATTTATTGTAATGTATTTACTGAAACATTAATTCAAAATTTATCAAATTATAATTCGAATTATTAAACTTATTCATTATATTTATCTTTTGTTCGTCAATTAAAATAAGAATATCAGAAATAAATTTTGATCGATAAATAAGATTTTTGTAATTAAAAAATCGTATTCTTCTTTCGTATAAAGAATTGAATTTATTTTAAATTTTGATTATTTCCTTTAAAAAAAGAAAAATACAAAAAATAATTACAAAAAGCAATTATCATTGTCCAATTAATCAAATTACAAATCGAAATATCGCTAATAATACATTTGAAAATTAAATCTCCTCCTTCGTAATTATTGGAATATTTCGAATCGTTATTATCAAAATTGAAATTTATACAAAATTACAAGGATTTCAATTTTCTCTTTTATCATTATTCATATTCCTTTGATCAAGTGAAAATAGTTTTTTTTAATTATCACGTGTAAGAAATTTGCATATTTTCGATATTTCACCGGATTCACAGTATCGTATACATGTTGTGTTTAATCCAAGTTATAAATAGTGTACCACAAAATTGCGGTCTTCGATATTTCTGTTTTGAAATGCAAGAATATCCTTTCGATACATGGAAATTGTATAAATTTCCATGTAATTTTAGCATAACATTTTTTTTCAACATGAAAATTATGAAATTTGCAAATATATTTTGATTACAAAAGTTATTTCCCTATATTTTTACTTTCTAATCAATACTATTTTTTTGTCAAATTCCTTATTTCATTTTCATATCAAATGTTAACACTTAGAAGTATTGTTAAATGATACAAAAATATAATATACTATGAATCTAATAATTAATATAAATTTTATGATAAATATAATAATGCAAATCAAGGATTAAATAAATGTTACTGATTGTTCATTTTTAAAGTGTGATTAAATTTTTTTGTATGATATAATAATTTTGTTGAGATTAATAAAATTATATTTTATCAGAATAAAATTCAACAAGTAGAAGAAAATAGAACGTTCAAATAATTCAATAAAGATACAATATTTAAAATTTTATTTGTTATTTCAGAATGTAATATTGAAACAAGCGAAATTCATTGAGGTAAAATATAACAACATAAAATAATAAGACAATAATGATGATTGTTATCAAATAAATATGTAATTAATTTAAATTCATTATACATACCTTATTAATAAACATCAATTATTGACCAACAACGTATTAAAATATGAAATATTTAAATTAAAGATGATGTATTCATCAATATATCTCGTTATTTTTTTTTTTTTAAATTGATAAATACTTTTCATACAAAATTTTTAAACAAATTTTAATATTCTTAATATGCTATATAAATAAATTCTAATATAAATTACTATTATGCTACTTTTTGTATTCACGTACGTGATTTTCAATTGGCATTTTATTCAGGCAAAATTAAATTCAAAACAAGTAATCGTTTAAATCGATTTCACATTAAAAATTTTACATCAAAATATCCTAAAACCTCCTCCTCTACGATTTTTCCTATTCAATAAAATTACGAATTTTATTTATTCTCGCAAATATCGCTTTATCGTAACGTTTACTTTATCACAACGAACTTTTCACCCCCATACGAACTCTCACACCATTGCAAAATATCGAATCGCGCGACCATTGTTCACTTTTTTCTCGAACAATCGTAAATTTCAGCTGAAAGGTACGTGCATAAGTTACCTCTCGTCGGAAAAATTATTTCATTGCGCGTATCGCAACAATTGTGAAACGTATCTGCGAACTAACTAACTAAGGTAGAATACATACTTTTTATTGGAACATTAAACTATCCATTTCGTATAAATTTCTACAAAACACAATTTTGTCGACACAAAATTACGAACACGCGATTTCTCGGATTTTTCAAATTTTAATGGTTTATTAAAAGATATTTTTTCAAAATTAATTTGAATTTTATTTTATTATCAATTGTCAAAGAGAAAAAGAGAAAAAGAAATTTATCGCGAAGCATAATGTGTATATATATGTTAGGTATATTAAAATTAATATATGTACATAATTCATAATTTCGAAACAAAATTACTGTTATTATTCACTATATTTATTGAATATGAAATATAATCCGAAAAAGTATCTCGATATTGTTTTGTCAAAGATAATTAAGTTTCACGATTATAATCTACTGGAAGACCGATATTCCGTCAAGAATTTAATGCACGAAGCCAAAATGACACAGCGTTCGTTAGATACGAATTTATCTGCATTCATCGTTGCAGAAGATTGGTCATTAAGAAGTTCCGATCTTAATTCCCTCGATTATCGCTCTTGGAATATTTTAGAAGAAGCGGATTGCCGTAAATCTCGAAATAATGGAAGATAATCTTGGCGAAAACGGTATTAACACTCACAATGTTAAATTTTTCCTTGTTTAAAGTACCGCAAAACGTGTAATATCACGTGTAAAAATATAACATAAATATATGTATTTGTTTTAAAATAATTATTAGATATTACAAAAAAAAATCTAATAAAAAAAATTATAAATCAATTGGAGAATTATATTTTTTGATTAAAAATATAATGTTGTTTGGAAAAATTAGCAACCAATATTCAAAACTTAATTTCTTATGAAAAATTTGTTTTTGAAAGGTTCATCAAAATAAAGATATAAATAGAAATAATTTCTCGCATTAAAATATTATTAAGAATTTTTCTTGTTGAAATTATAAATTGATCGTTAAACAATCTAATTGGGAATCTATTTTAGGTATTACAATTAATAATTCCATGATTGCACATCTCTGTTAACTGAGGGGGAATCAAATGCAATTCACAATAAACTATTTAATCCTCAATTGCTCAAAACATAATACATTTCACGTTAAACAGAAGTAGAAGCTTAGAGCTTAAGCTCGTATTAAATATAAATTAGACAAATTAGAAATTTATAGAAATTTGTTGAAGTTCAATAAATGAATCAAATCAAAATAAATACAAATAAATAAATAATAAAACGCAAATATAATTTACATATTGAATTTTAATATAATAAAATAGTGTTTGAAAATTATTATTAATAATTTCATAATTGAAACATAATTATTAATTAAAGTTATGTCAAACGAAAATCTTTTGTTTCAGTGACTGTGCAAGCAGATAGAATGGGCATTATACCGCGGAAATTTACGAGATTCTTGATTTCCTCTGAGCCTGAAAGCGAAGAAGACACGGCAGAAAGTGGCATCTTTGATCTCCAAGATGATTTGTTAACGAAATATTCGGAAAATTGTCCGAATACCGTGGTAGAAATGTCGATGGTGTCTAAAGAAGAAATTTCCGTGGCCTGGACCAGTCCTTCCGAAGGTAGCGGTTGCATATTTATCAGGTGAAGGGATATTTTAATAACAAGCATGAAAATGGAACATATTCTTGCATGAGAAATGTAACAATGTAGTTAGAAAATATTGCAATAATCTATCCATTATGCAGCTTTCAAAATCAATGCAAAAATAAATCAATACCTTTATTCCTTATTCAGTAATATCCATTTAAATGGAAAACTTATTCCCTCTTACCTATTATAAAGAAAGATGAAGATTACAGATTTTTTAATTATTAAAAATAATTAGAAAATAATTCATCTTTCCAATTTCCAGAATAAAACAATATCTTCGTTTTCAATAACTTCAATTAACAAATTATTCTTTTTTGCCTACTATAAGGAAGGATGAAGATCAAGTTTTGATTATCATAAAAGCTAGTCTCAAGAGTGATTAAAAAAATGTTGCAGTTTAATAACATGACACTTGACACAAAGCTATCTTTTGTCTGTTATCAAAGAAGAAGTTAAGATTATAAATTTTCTGATTATTATAATAACTAATCAAAAAATAGTTGAAAAATATCAATTCAAAAGCTTATCTCATTTCAACCATTCGAATTTCAACTCCATTTCGAATTAATACAATCTTGGGGACGTAGGTATGATAACACATATTCTTCCACTTGTTCTTCTTCTATAGGGCGACAATATTGGAAACGCCTGATACATGGTATATGGACGATCCGAATTTAGTCCTAAAGATATGTCAAGACTCGAAAGCTGAGGCGGACAACCAAGGACCAGTTCTGAATGAATGCTGTGCCTGCGACGAAGCGAAGTACGAAGTTACTTTCGAGGGACTTTGGTCTAGAAATACTCATCCCAAGGCACGTGAGAGAGAAAGAAAGAGAAAGAGCACGACAAATAAAATCGACAAACAGAAATGCATAGAACCGATATCGATCCATCGCGTTTAAACGTCGAAGTGATACGTTAAAGCTTTCGAATGGTTGTTGAAGCCAAAGAGATCCTTTTTCTTTTTTTCAATTTATTTTCTCTTTCCTCGTTTCTTTTTATTCTTTTCCATTATAAATCTAGGGAAATAACTTGTGTTCCTTAGTTAGAATGAAGTTCTGGACAATAAAATTTATTTTATTTTTTTTCTTATATTAATGGTAAAATATAAAATAATAGAAATAATTCTTATCCAATTTTAATCTTTACAAGTTTAAAACTTTTAAAACTTCTCATTTATAAAAATTAAAAAATATGATTTATTCAATTTTTCTCAAGAGGTTTTCAATTTATTCATTTTAAATGAAACTCTGGTAAAATGAAAAGGATATTATTGTGTATTAGCTCGAATATTGAGACATATGAGAATTTTGAGACATTGAGAGGAATTATTTCAATTCCAATTCTTAACAAAGAAAGAGGATGCTATTTTATTGATGTAAGAATTGAGTTACCTTATAATGTGGAAATAGGTCAGAAAAATGTTCCATAAAACTTTCAAGTTGGAACAATGTAAAACTTGTATTATATATTAGATTTTTTTGTTTTTACAGGATTTTCCTAGCAAAGGATGGATCATTCGATTTTCAGATGTCATTGGAGCATCACATACAGTAGATTATAGATTTTGGGAATACAATGGCATGGCTACTACTGGTTTGCAACAAGTGGCCGAATTTGGACTAACCAGAAAATTAGAATCTGAATTAAAGAATCAAGTACAATTTTTTATTAAAACATTTAATAGTGTTTTTCTTATTTTTTTTAACAAATTAAAAATCATAAATTTTTATTTTTTTTATTATATATATAAAATTAATTTTTTTATTTAAGAATAATATAGAAAAATATATAATAATAATTAATTATAATTATTTTATAATAAGAATAAATTCTTTATTTTAAATTATAAGAAATTTAATTAAAAAATTAATTTTATTATATTAAATTCATTATGTTAATAAATATTAATAAAAATATTTTATTTTCCTATAGAGTGATCATATTAGGACTATAATCAAAGCCAGAGGAATAAGTTATCCCAATGTTACTGGTAAAACTTTTGCAGTCTTCCGCGTTGACCGAAAACATCATCTTATGTCTTTGGTGTCTATGATTGGTAAGATTATTTCATAAAGTAATATATTTTTTAATTTATACTTATTTATATTTATATTTATAATTTAATTTATATTTATTTATAATTTCTTTATAGTATAATTATTAAAACTTAAGTCATTAAATTTTACAACAAAATAAATAATCATAAATAATAATCATAATAATCATAATAATCATAAATAAAAAAAATATCAATAATGACAAATTATTTAACTATTTAATAAAAAATTTGAAGAAAAAAATGTAATTTGTAAATTAGTAATAACATTTTGAAAATATTTCAAAATAGAATTTTAAAAAATTTCATACATTCCAAAGTTCTAATATATTATAATGAAATAATGAAGTTTCTCTTTAAAATATAAAAATAAAAATCTGATTTTATAGATCCTTCACCGGATTGGATAGTCGGAGTTTCAGGTTTGGAGTTGTGTCTAAGTAATTGTTCGTGGATTGAACATAAAGAACTTAATTTATATCCATATGACGCGGGCACTGATAATGGGATCACGTACTTGGTAAATAACATTTTCTTCATAAATAATTTACTTTACAAAATATTTAATACATCTCTAAATATTTTCACAATATAATCTCTATTCTAAATATAAACTTCAGGAATTTTCTCATTTTATTTCATCCACTTCATTCATTATCAATAAATAAAAATAAGGATCAAATTTCTATAAGAAACAAATGATCCGAAATAATGAAACAATACAAAAAATGAGATAAATTGAATAGGTTCGCAAATGATAGAAGAAATTTTTTTTAAAAAAAAATATTTATATCGTTCTAATGTATGAAATTCGAAAGAAGATTCTTTTAGGAGATTAAAATGATGAACGTCAACTCTGAGAGAATTTCATAATAAATTCGATTGGAGGCTTCAAGCTTAACAATAGGGCTGCTGCGAATCATTGACGACGTTGAAGTAAACGTGTCTGTGACAATCTTCCGCCCGATCAGAAATTTTCCTCGTCGTTGCGCATTCTCTCGTCTTTCGATTTCCTGAAATCCAACGTTCTTCCCTATTTGTGTTTTCATGATAAAGATTCATGAATAAAAAATGTAATTGTCTATAATAGTCTATAATAGTCTATAATATATATAATAAAATGATTATGAAAACAGAAGCGATTTATTAAATAATTTATTAAATTATTGAAAAGAATATAATTTTTTAATTGACATTAAATAGAAAGAAAATTAATAATTGAGTAGGAATTTTATTTATATTTATTGATATTATAATATCAATAAAAAGTTTAGAATCAGATTTCTTTTTGTATCTTTTTATATAAAATATAAATAAAATAAATAATAAAATAAAATAGAATAGAATAGAATAAATAAATTTTTTTTCGTTTCTAGTCACCAGATTCACCAACAGAGCCACAAGAACCCATTCATCGAATAACTTCGAGTTATCCCAACGATTCGAGATCTCCGTTTTATGATCCTTCTGGCTTAGATATGAAGCCTCTTGCCAGGCTTTATTTGAATCGACAAAGACTTTATGAGAAAACCTGTAAGAATATTTCAGAAGATGCAATGAACACAGGTACAACTGGCAAAAACGCAGAGAGTATTGTTTTTTTTATTTATTTATTTATTTTATTTTCTAATCATTAACCATAGAGATACATGGATCATAATAATTTAATAAATTTCTTATGACAAGATTCCTTATGTTTTCATATCATTTATATGTTTTTAAATAATTTTTAATGTATTTTAAATACATTAAACTGTTTATTTTTATTTACTATTATATTTATATTTTTTTTTAAATTTTTATTTAAAAAAAAATACTATAGATGACATATTAATCACTACTTATAAAAAAAAATTTTTTTAACACTCGCAATAACCAATCATGATCATTTTCATTATATCATAATAATAATAATAATAATAATTAAAATTTTGTTAAATTAACATTTAATTATTATTTCTAAATATCGCGAAATTTATAAGAAGATTTTATTACACTATTATTACCGTAAGATTTGTATCAAAAGCTTTTATGCAACACAAATACACGAATACATTTCCAGAGGCGACAAACAATATAATTTTTGATTATATGCAGAAGCCTGTAAAGTGACACCATGGAACCCTTGGGAGGCTTGTTCTGTGACATGCGGTCGAGGCAACCGTCTTAGACAAAGATTCTACGAGGACAAAGCTGCTGCGACGCAGAACAAGTGCAACGTCACTCTAACTGACAGGGCGAAGTGCCAGGGAGAGAGCCCTCACTGGTAATTGCTGATTTTATTAAAATAATTAATGAGAGAAAATTATTTTTCTTTGATCAATTTTTTATTTTTTATTTTTTTAGTTTTAAAGATTTATCGAATAACGTTTCTCTATATTAAAAAAAAAATTAATTTCAAACAATTAATTTCAAAAAATTAATTGAAAAATATAATAAGATTTTTTATTTTGCAAATTTCTCTTTGAAATTCATGTATTTTAAGATTTTCTAAAGATACAAGATATATTACTTGAAATTTTTAAATATAAAAAGAGAGAGTTTCTGAACTGAATTATACAAGATTTTTCTTGTCGAAAAAAAATTCGTCGAAAAAATTAATAATTTATCCAATAATTATATTTTTATAAAATATACGATATTTTTATTTAAATTATTTAAACTGATATACAAAAATTTTATGAATTTATATTTTAGTTCAATATTCAATAGTATCTTATAGTTCAATACTACAAGGAAATTTAATAAATAATAGACACACAATCAAAATTTTTTAATACAAGAAATTCCAAATATTAGATTATTAAAAATCAAACAATTTAATACAAAACTTTCGAAATTTCTCTCCATTCATATTAAATTGATTTTATGGTTAAGCTAATATTCATTTTAATTTAATTTGATAAATTTGAATCTTCAAAATAGTTAAGTCCGTGATGCCGATTTATTTGCAATTTAAGAACCAAAATCATAAGGAACACAGGATTGAACATACTCATAAGTTTTATATATTCTAGACATAATACAAACTTGTTGGAATTTTAACGAATCTGCATTGTGTCATACCAACTCGTTTATACTAACTCGTTAAAATTCCAGGAACTTATATTCATCAAAAGTCTTTGGAAAAAGCACTACCGATTCTATGAATTTCATACGAGGGTTATCATTCCTATGATTTCACAAAAAAACTTTTCAAATTTTTCACTTTCCATGTTCACGTGGAAAAAAAGAGTTAAAAATAATAAATTATTAAATTAATTATTTGTTACAGCAACAATAGAGGACGAGATGCAAGTATTCTGAAAACAGAGAAATGCGCATTACATGAATGGAGTAATTGGAGTTTCTGCAGTGCGACCTGCGGAGATAGCCACAAGACAAGATCACGGAATTTCAAGTACAAGAAGCATCTTAAAGAGTGCAAATCAATCCCTGACGGACCGGTACTTCAACAAACAATTGCTTGCGAAAACGTTCCGTGTCCTGATATGGATAAGGACGAGGTAAGCGACTCGGCTAATCAGGAAGAGGAAAATGAGAATAATGATGATGAACAAGACAATGATAATGAAGAAGATTACGAGGGAGAGGCACCGGTGATGGAGGTAACTGAGAAATGGCAGCAGGTACAGAACCTAGTTTACAACTTACTAATCAATAGCTAACTAAAAAAAATATTGCAAAACACACATAGCTTTTGGCTATAATTTTATTGAACAGAAAACAGAACGAGGAAATTATCTAAAACATGGAAAAAATATCATTTAATAATTGAAGTTGCTTGTATGCAAATTAATGATTACTTGATAATAGTAAAATATAATTTTGAAGTATATTAAGTGATTTTAAATAAATATACATATAGCTCTGTTTAAAATGAAAGTAGAAGAAAAAATATATAAGAAAATTTTATGCTTTAATAATTTTTATTATTTTATCATGCAATTTTTTACACAAATACATCACATTTGCAAAATGCAAGGAAGTATGCATGAAGATTAGTACGATATAAACGAATCTATAAGATAATTTTCAATTAAAATTTAAATAAAGTCTTAAAAAAAAGATTAATATCTATTAGATTTATATAAATATCTATATAAAAAATATCTATATAAAATCTATATAAAAAATATCTATATAAAAAATATCTACATAAAAAATATCTATATAAAAAATATAAAAAATAAATAAATAAAATTTGCTATTATTTGCGTACAAGTATCCCTAAATTTTCACTCAAATTTCAAAATATTATTAATTTATAATGTTGTTATAATGTTGTTATAATTAGATTTGTTTATTATAAATAATTATTAAGTAACAAAATTTTTCTATTGTACTTTCAGTTATTTACTTAATTTTATTTTTAAGAAAATATTTTTAAGAAAATAATTTTCAAAATAATTGAATTGTAAAAATTTATAAAGTGAATTGCAATTATTCTATATATTTCCCATGATAAAGAACAAATTAACTCGTTCTGAATTATTAAATTATTAAAAAATACTTAACATATAGAGAGTAAAACAATATATTTTATATTATATTTAAAATAATATATTTTTTATGAATTGATTTTATTTTTTATATAAAATAAAGAATTAATAATGAAATTAAAAATTTATCAAATATGATTAAATGAAAAAGAAGACAATTGTTTTATTCTCTTTTTTTTGTCAAATAAAAAATAGTCAATTCATTGTTATTCATAGAGATTATTAACAAATTATTGAATTTGATAATCATAGCAATAACAATATCATACGATATTCGAATCATTAATAATCTCGAATTGTTCAGAATAATCGTTTCACGTAAATCATACCTGCACCATTTCTCGCAAATCAATCCATAATACTGGCATCCTCACGTAAGTCGAAAATTAATTTCAAATGTTAAAAGTTACCAATTGATTCTATTGTGTATAAGATATATTTTATATGTAATTTTAATTAAAATTAATAATAATTTAATTACTAATTTATTTTTCATAGTAATTTGAGATATTTCATTAGTTTAAAACTAAATAATTAATAGTTAAATGAATTAAAATAAATTCAATCAAAAATATTATTTTGCAAATATTTTTTTATGAAAAATATTATTTATTATTATTTTTATTCCAACCTTTGTCAATTTTTATTATTTATTTAAGAAATTCATATATGTACCTATATTTATTAATATTTTTTATTTTTCCTTATTTTAAAATATAAAAAATCCTTTTTATTGATTATCATTTTCATTTTTCTTCCTTATTTATAATATTGATAATATTTATAATATTGATTAATTTTATTTCTCATTTCATATTTCATTTAATAACACATTTTTTATCATCAAATATTTTAATGTTATCAAATTTTTAATAAATGCAATCGTTCCTATTCTATGTATACATTATATTTTTGCGGCGTGTTATAACATTTTTTCTTTGTCATAACATATAATTTTAGAAAAAAAAAAATAATTTATTTAAAAAATTAATACTAGTTAATTAAAATTTTAATCATTACTTAATATTTAACTCTTTATACTTTATATAATTATATTATATTAATTAAAAATAATTATTATTCAAAATAATAATAATATCAAAATTGATTTCTAATTAAATATTGAAAATTAATATTATTAATTTAAAATTATTTATTAAATAAATTGGATTACATAAAATTAGACAAAAGAAAAATAGTGTAAAGAATTAAATAAAATTAATATTTTTCAAACAGAAATTTAATTTATTAATTTTATTTATTTTTAATCAGAATTGCCCAGAAGAACGTTATACCCAATGGTCCTTATGGTCTCCCTGCAGTTCTACCTGCGGCCCTGGCATACAATTAAGATTCAGACTCGTGAAAGAGGGAAATATAGGGAGCTATGACGAGAATTTAAATCGTGAAGAGTGTAAACGACAACAGGCTACATGTGTAGCTAGCATTCCAACATGTAATATTACAAAAGAAGAAGCAGAAAGTAAGAAAGTTAAAAAATATTTATTGAACAATTTTTAATTCAAATTAAAAATAAAATTAATTTTTAAATATCAAAAAAATGTAAATCATAAGAATTAAAAAATGAATTATATATATGTATTATTTATATGTATTAAAAAATATTAAAATATTATCTTTATAAAAATAAGAAAAGAAAATTATAAAGATAATATTATTACTGAAACAATGAAATTTTTTTCAATATTATGAAAAACGAAAAAAAGAAAAATCTACAAATTGTTGAATTGATTTCAGAGATCTGCAATGAACCAATGAAGAAAGGACGATGCAATAGTAACATCATACGTGTATATTTTGATAAACAAACTGGTCAATGTCGTAGATTTAGTTATTCCGGCTGCGATGGAAATCGAAATAATTTCGAAACTGAAAAATATTGCAATGAAATTTGCGGTGATTTTCAGAGTAAGTTTCATAATTTAGATATTTTATAATTATAATAATTTATTAGAATAATTTTTTTTATTTATCATTTTATTTAAGAATTTATTAATAATTGAAATAAGAATTATTTAAAAGATTAATTAAAACTTTGACATTTTAACAAATTTTAACATAAATTTTTCTCTAATTTCAAACTAACTCAAGAATTTAAATTTCTCATAATTAAAAATAATAAATGATTAATTATTTAAAGATTGTGATTTGCATTTTTTTAATAAAATTTTTACTATTATTCTATGCATGCTTGCTTATAAAACAAATGTAGGAGAGTCAAGGGGAAATATATCGACTATGACAAAAAATTATAAGGTATCTCTCAGCAGTGTTCTCAGTTATCATATACCTGTGCAGGGACAACGCAGCATGAAGACAAAGCGAGCTCATCATGGTGATGCTAATTATAAGCTTACTAACAAATTGCATTAATTTGCACTATAAATTAAATTATCAATCTTTTTCGTCTTAATTTTGATTTCTATAAACAAGAATTTATTATTTTTTGTATATTTTGTATATTTTGTTTTATTAACTTATACATATTTCTTATTTATTCATTTATTATTATTTTATTTACAAATAAAAATTATTAAATTGATTCAAAATAAAAAAAATCATTTTGAAAAATCATCACTTTTTTTAATTATTTTTAATTATGAAAAAAATTATAAATTTTTCATTATAAATTTCAAAATTATTGATTAAGTATCATTATTGAATATCATTGAAAATTAATTATTGAAAATTTATATTAAAACATAAATAATTAATAATTTCAATATTATTTTAATGATAGTTTCATTATCAAAAATTTTTTTTAAATTTGTATGTTTTATATTTTGTTTTTGGTTTTTATATCTGTATAAATTAATATTGAATTTAATGAATTTCTGTTTATTTGGAAATTTTTTTGTTTTTTTATATTATATATATTTTTTATAATAATATATATAAATAATATATTTTATAAAATATCTTCTTGCAGAGAAATTAAAATTCAAAGGAATACAACCAGATAGTCAAGTGATAGAATCATCTAATATTGTGAAAGATATCGATTGTCAAATATCCAATTGGAGTAATTGGTCTGCATGTGCAGGATGTCGTGGGTACACTGAAAGTACAAGACAAATTCAGGTAAATAATTTTTTTATATTTATAATTTATGAATCTTTTTAAAAAGATTGCTAAGTCTATCTAATCATAAATATAATCTAAATTATATAATAAGAATATTGTTATTTTTCGAATTTGCAATTCAAACTAATTGTAATCTATTTTTAAGAATGATTTTTAAAAAATCAATTTCTATAAGAAATTTTGGAAAAATGTACATTGAATATTTTAATGAAATTTATAGTTTATTATATAAGAATGAGTATAATTTTATTTGATTTATATAATTTAGGTATATTCTAAAGGCAATGGTAAGAAATGTCCGCAAAAATTGCATCGCAAAAGAAAATGTCATAAAATTCCACCTTGTTGTAAGTATTATTAAAATAATTTGGTCAAATTTATTTATGAAGATTGACTAAATAAAATAAAATCGCAGCTTTACAAAGTGATGAATTAAGACGACGTATATATCGTGATCGATATTCGGGAAAAGAAGAAAATCAAAGTAAGTATTGATTAATTGATTAATTATTATTGTATAATTATATAATTAAAATTCTATTATTCTTTATGTTAAATAATTATAATTGAATATTTTTTAATTTTTTATTATTAAGGCAATATTTATAATATTTTAAGCATATTCTCAAAACTATTTTGAGAAAATTTTTCATTAAATTCTTATTCTATAAATGATTTTTAAAGCCAGTATTAAAATCTAATTAAAACTTAAATCTGATATCTATATTTTCAATGATAATAATAAGTATACAGAGCATGAATAATTTATGAATATAAAAGCATTTTTCCTTAAATCTAATTCATCTAATTATATATATACTAAGAAAAATATTCGAATCATTAGGAAAATATTAGAATAGACAATTTTAAAATTAAGATTTATCAAAAACAATAATTCAACATAAAGATGAACTATTTATGAAAAAATTCTAAATATAAAGAAAAAACAATATTTAAAAATAATGGCTTATGAAATAAACTCACCAAATAAATATAATATTATATAATTATCAAAATTAGTTTCAGTTGATTGCAAAATGACACAATGGTCTAATTGGTCACATTGTACAGCAAGTTGTGGAAAAGCATCACAATACAGAACAAGAACAGTCAAAATTCAATCTATTGGTCCAAAAAGCAAACCATGTTCTCATATGATAGAAAATAGGAAATGTCATACAACAGAATGTCCATAATAATATTTATCCATTTTTATTTTATTATTTATTTTAAAACATATTTCAATTTAAAATTTTACTTATGTATCATTAAATCAAGCACAATAATGAAATAAATATAATATGAAATAAAATTTTGCTATAATTCATATTCATAGAAATTATTCTAAAATATTACAATATTTACATTACAAAATTCTTTATAATATATTTTTGAAAAATATTCAATATAAAAAAAATGACAATCAATATTGATATTTGATCATATTATGATCAATGACTCATTGAGAGAATCATTGAGAGTGCTTGATATATTGATACATATTTTAGGATTAAAGTTTTAATTTAATTTTTTTATTATTTTAATTGCAAAACTTAAAATAAAAAAATAATTTTAATAATATAAGTATATTCTGATAAATTTATGTGGAATATAATATTTTAGATTAGATCTAATTTTTTAAATCTAATAACAATATATTTCGAATATTAAAAAAATTACTTTATTTATAAGATAAATATTAGGAATATTTCTAATGAATTTCAATCAATTTATACGCACAAAATATTCTATTACATTTTTTATATTTTTTGTTTTAATTTTTTTCTTAATATTAATTTAATATTGAAAAATAATATTAATAAATAATTATAATTATAAAATTATTACTATTTTACTTATATATAATATAATTCTTTCAGTCAGATAGAATTATATTTCAATTAGTTATAAAAAAATAAAAAATTGTTCAGGATTTATAGTAAAAAATGTATAAACTACATATAATTAACTATATATCATATAGTTACATATATTATGTTACACATATTATATTACACATAATTAATTATATTATATTAAATTTTCTAAAAAAAACAAATATAAATTGTTTTATGCAAAAATAAAATGTAATAATCAATATTTCAATTATTATCAAAAGATGTGTCATCTCTTAAATATTTTAAAAAATAAAACAATCAATATTGCAATGATATATATTTCTCTGTATAAGTATTATAAAATATATATTTGTGGCATTTATAAGATTTAAGAAAATATAGATCTCAGTTTAAGATCAAATATTTCATTTAGTGTTTATTAAAATTGTATATTTAAGATTTAAGTAAAATTAATTGAACAAATTTTATCAACTTGGTAGAAATATCTATAAATGATTCTTATATATTATTATCAAAAAACTTAATCTATTATATAAAAATAAATATGATATATTATACTTTTTTTTCAAATAATTGCAGTATGTATTAAAAATACTTTTGATATAGTAATATAAAAAAATAATAAAAAATAACAGCTTACATAAAAAGTATAATATCACATTATGTTATAAATATAATAATTTCAAATAATTTTAAAATTAAAATTTTGAATCAATTTTTGCATTATTTTATTTTAGATGAGATAATTTTGTTAAATAAAATATATATTAATATTATTTTATTTTTATACAATATTTATTAATTGTACTTTTTTTTCTTTATATTTTTACATATATTAATTATATGATTAAATTTTTAGATAATAATATACTTATGTATGTATATTACATATCGTTAGATAATAAGATCATTGTTTATTAAACAAATTAATGTATTCACTTATATTTGACAATAATAATATTATATTTAATATGATACTAAATGAAATTCAAAACTTTGTTTTTATTTAAATTTAATATATAATTAAAATAAGAATCATTATTAATAATTAATATTATAACTTAATATTACAAGCATAAAATTTATTTAATATTTATTGAATTATAATTAATGCTAAAATATATTTTTAAATATTATTATGAATTATTTATAAGAAATCATTTTGATTTAAAAATAATTAGTTTTGAATCTCATTTTAGTGTTCAAAGATGTAAGATATTATAAAGCAATAAATTTAAAATTATTGTATTTTGTTATTTAATATTTTAAACTATATGATTGAAAATATACATCATTTAAGTTTTAAATATAATTTTATGAAATATAATATATATATAATTTAATATAAATATAATAATTTAATAATTATATAATATAATAATTTTTTATGTGTATGATATTAATTTATGTTATATAAAATTTTACAAGATAAATCCTTGTATTATACATATACATATGTATATATTCTTGTACACATATTAATTCATTATTCATTTTATAAAATTATAATATGATTTTACTATATTTGTTAATATTTTATATATTTCTATTTTAAGATATATCAAATACTATTATTCTTTGAAGAATTATTCTCATCTTCTAATGGAGAATATATAAGTATAGTATTACCTTTTTTTATTTTTTGTTCTGAAATAATTCCCTGCATTTTGCTTTTTACACTTTCTATTATCCCATCCTATAAAATGAATTATATTATATATTTAATTTATTAATAAGAATTAAATAATATCAATTAATATTTTTAATAAATATTGTAAATAAATATATTCATTTTAATATATTCATTATTAATAATGCAAATAAACATATAAATATAGATAATCTATATTAAATATAGATTATAAATAAATAGATTATAAAGTTGTTAATAATTAATGTTCATCTTTTTACCCGTACTCCATTAGGATGAATAAAAAGTATTTTAACTTTATGATTTTTCTTCAATACTTTATTAACATTATTGATTTTTATATTTAAATCATAATCCATTATATCACTTTTTATAGTGAATAATTTAGTGGATTTTAATTTTTTTTTATCATTATGTATTTTTTTTTTTAAATATTTTTCTTCTTTTTCTTCTTTTTCTTCTTCTTTTTCTTCAATTTTTGAATATTCTACAAGTTTATAAATATGTCTGTTGTTTTTAGATTTATCACTCACATGTACTAATTGGAGATTTCGGCGATTAGCTAATTTTTCTGCATCTTCTAATAGAGTAACAGTTATAGATTTGTTTGGATGTATAAGTATAATTTTAGGAATTCTTGGAATCTTTTGTTTCTTTTTATCGGTTTTTTCTTCTAAGTCATTCATATTATTTAAATTAAAATTGATCTTTTGATGCCATAAAAAATTATTTTGAATATATTGAATTTCTTTATTTTCGTTTTTGATTAAAAATAATTTATTTATCTTAAATATAAATCGTATTCCTAATAATCGTAACATTATCAATGTTTGTAAGTGATAAATAAATTGACTTGATAAATATAAGTTAAATATAAGTTAAATATAAGTAAATATATTGAAAATGATGTACTATGTTCTTAAAAATTAAGGTTAAGTTTATCATTTGTTTTAATCGTTTTTTAATTTTAAGAATAGTTAATATTTATTAATAATTGAATAATTAATTAATTAATTTTATCACTTTATTTATTTTTCAATTTTAATCTTTACAATTGAATTTATATAAATGTTGTATAAATAAAAAATTATATAAATTTTAAAACTGAAGTTTTTAAAATTATAAAATAGTATGTATAATAAAATGAAGTATAATTTTTAAAAAATCTCATATTATTAATATTAAATATTTCTTTTCAGTTAAAAATATTTATAAAATATTTGTTTAAATGGAACTATTCAATGGAACTATCAGATTATATAACAATTTTAATAAAAATCCCTAGTATGTTCTTTTATTTTTATATCTTAATTTTTATGAATTGTATTATATAAAATATATTTTTAATATATAATTTGTTTAATATATAATTTTTTATATTTTCCACATTTAATATATTTATATAATGTGTATTATGGATAATATATTTATATTTACATTATATTTATCACTTAAAATTTATATAAATTTGAAAGATTAAATTGATATGTCATTTTATATTATAATTTATGATAAATATATTGAAATTAATATATTTATTGATTTAAATTTTCAATTAAAATATCATACATTTTATTTTAAACTTATAAATATATTATAACTATTATAATATATTATATGATACACATATATATGTATATCAAATAAATCCACTATTATTTTATGATATTTTAACAAAAAAATCATAATTTTAGAAAAATAAATAAAGAATATTATATATTTTTTTATCAGAATTAACTAAAATCATTGAAATTAATACAATAGCCAAATTGAATATTGCAAAGTATAAATACATCTCAAATGGAATCGAAAAAATATAAAAGGAAAGATTAGAATTAATTTCTAAACTTTAACTAAATAAATATGGCGTTTTCATGATGGATTGACATGACAATACAAGTGATTAGTTGTTGGTTCAAATATATAAAGTATTTGATATATATTTATATATATTAATTAAACTATTCGTAATGCGCAAGTCGCTTAATAAATATACAATTTGTGTTATTACTGTGTCCTTACTGTATAGATGGACGATTATTTCAATAAGTAGGACACTTTTGACAGAAATACAATACTTGGTTAGTTAAAACCTAAAAAAAAAGAATATTTTATTTTTGCGATTATTAATAATATGAAAGATTCCAAAAAGAAAGGATGCATAAATTTAAGAGTTTGTGATAAATATAAAAATAAATAAAATATAACCTGTAAAAATGAGCTGGTTACGAAGTAGTCCTTTAAGAACTAGTTTTAGTAAGCAACGTTCAAGAGACTCTCCACCAAAAGATGCTGATCCATCAGCATGTTATGACAGCTTTTGTAAACATTGGCAACAAGCATATGAAATCATATTACGAACATCTGTAAGTTTAATTTTTAAAAAAAATTAAAAAATTTTTAAAACTTTCTTAAAATTTAACATGTTTAAATATTATTAAAAATAATTTTAAAAATAATGTAAATATAAAAAATTTCAATTAATATTGTATTTAATTATATTTAATTATTTTTTCATAGCCACCTAAAGGAATATGTAATCAAGATGATGTTCTTGGAGTTGTTAATCATGTAGATCAAATGGCAACACTTTTAGTTTTAGAATTACGTGATTTTAATTTTTACAATAACTATCGACAATCTACAACAGCAACACACTCTCCTTGTTTAGAATATTTATTAAGTGAAAATCTCCTTGTTAAGCTTTATGATTGGAATAAATATAATGGAAGGTAGACTTTTTTTTAAAACTAATAACAATAAATTTAAGATTTAATGTTATATAGTAATAATTAATTATTAAATTTTATTAGATAGAATATTTATTTCATATTATATGTTATTATAAAAAAAATGTTGCAGATTTAATAATGCCGTTTGTTTGGAACAATTAAAATTATATGAACTTTTAGTATCACATAGTGGTACTCTTCTTGCCCATGAACCAGTTGCCAGACCATTGTTACGATTACTTGAAGATTGTGCAAATGATATTATACTATTAGAAGAAAAATTAGTAGTGTTATTAAATCAATTATGTGTTGCTTTAATGCAAAACATGGCATTACTTGATTTATTTTTTCATGCAACAGCAGTAGGAAAAAGCAAGTTAGTAGAATATATGTATATTCATATGTTATATCTTATATAAAATGAACTATATAAAATGTTATAAATTAAATAATTCATAGGTATTATCATTTTTATTATCAAGAATATTTCTTTTATTTTCTTTTATTTATCAAAATTTTTGATCCCAGAGAATATATCTCATTTCTTTTCTTCAAAAGTTTATTATTATCTAGATAGATAATCTAAATAATTTTTTATGAACTATTTAATTTTAAGTGAAATGAATTTTAATCAATTTTGAATGAATGAAAATCATTAATATTTCTAGTTATTTTGAAACAAAAGTTTGTAACACTTTATGTGAATTATCTTGTATATTTTTATATTGTATAATAACTGAATTTTTTTTAAATTTTTTCAGGTTTATTATTTTTACATTACTGATACCATATGTACATCGAGAAGGTGCAGTAGGACAACAAGCACGTGATTCCATGTTACTTTGTATGTCTCTTTCTAAAAAAAATGATGACGTTGGTGTGTTTATTGCTGATCATTCTAATATATGTCCTGTATGTAATTTTTTTAAAAAATTAAATTTATGTAAAGAAAGAAAGCAATAATAATAATAATAATAATAATAATAATAATAATAATAAAATAAATATTTACATAAATATAACATACAATTATTATATATTTATTCAATTATATTTTTATGTATTTAAGTTATTAATAAAATTTTATTCTCAATAATTAGGTATTAGCTACAGGTTTAAGTGGGCTGTATTCATTGCTGCCAAGAAAATTAGATATTGAAACAGATGATTGGTATCAATTAACACCAGATGATGTTAATGATTTACCAGCATTAATGCACTTAATGAATTCATTGGACTTTTGCAATGCTGTCGCACAAGTTGCACATCCTTTAGTACAAAAACAGTTATTAGAATTTTTATATCATGGTTTTTTGTTACCTGTGATGGGGCCAGCTTTATTACAGGTGAGTACAATATACATAATATATATACATACAATACATATATTACTTATAATTTTTTTGTGACAAAAATATTTGCTTATATTTTAATTTATATAAAATACATCATTTTACATATGATATATAAATTATATGTAATATTAAATTTAAATATATATATTTATTTTTTAATTATAACTAATAATTATCAAATAATTTTACTTAATAAATTATAATGTTTTTGTCATTTTACATGTATATGTGGTGAAAGAAGGTATTTACATCATGTTTATTTAAAAATAAATTCATAGTATGGTTAGTAAATTGTTATTATTAAATATATATAAATACAATATTTTCTATTTCATAAATTAATTTTTTTTTGTTATATGTTGTATATGTAATTTTTTTAATGTTATATGTATTACTTAATAATATGTTATACATATGTTATATATAATGTTATATAATAAGCTATTGACATAACTTATCTTTGAATTTTATACAATTTCATGATAATTTTAGTTATTTCATTTTATTCTCTTTTTTTACTTAATTATTTAAGAATATCAAATACATAATAATTGGTAAATGTTATATTGAATTATATGCAGAATTTATTAATTATTTTTATTTAATAGATTCTTATAGGTTCGTATGATGTGTTATTAAATGCATATAGCATTTTCAATATGGTGATGGTAAATGTAAACATTAATACCTACTAATTAAGTATTAATAATAAAGCTAATAAAGTTCGAATCATTTATGTTGTGATATGCTTGTTGGTGGCTATCCGGTGACATTTTTATGGTGCTCAGGATTCTATTGGTTTGACCATAAAACAACTAGATGCACAAGAATATCGGGTTAGTACAAAACACTATAATTAGTGCAGCAAATTTTCAATAAAGTATAAATCTCTTAGCTAATGTTAATTTTTTATTATAATATAAATTCTCATTGCAATATATTTTCTATAATAAAAAATATATATATATATTATATTTTAATAATCTTAATAATATTTTAACATAATTTTCTTAATATTATTTATTAATGCAAATAAATATTAGTTAAATATTGCATAATATTAATATTTTTTTGATAATATTAATTTGTTATATAATAATAATAATAATAGTATAAACATAATAATAATAATATAAGCTTAAGATTTACTAAAATACTATTCTTTAATGCTAATTAAAGCTTTTATGAATAACTTATAAACCACATAAATTTTATTAAGAAATATATTTAAAATCTTATATTTATTGATTTTGCATGACACATTAGTATATGTTTGTTATAAAAAATTATATTTTCTATATATGAATTTTTGAATATATTATTTTATTATTTTATATTATTTATTATGTATTATTTTTTTAGAATAATATTATTTCATTACTATATCATTATTATAATTGCATTAAATTATTATTAATGCAATTTTTAAAATTATATTAATTACATTTTTTTTTAAATTTTAATGTATTTAATTTTATGCCTTTTTTTAAATCTCTATTTATAAAAATATGTGGTTTACAAGTTAAAAATTCAATTTTTCATATAATTTTAATATATTTATTTAAATTTCTATAACCATAATATTTTTTTTCTTTTATTATGTCTTTGTGTAAAAAATTATTAATCATTATCAAGAGTTATTTTGTACAATGGAGTTGCTTTTATCATGTGTGTATAAGTCGTAATTTTTAACATTTGTAATACAATTGAAATATGCATATAATATTTATTAATACCATATTAATTAAGAATAATTTTTTATTAAATAATTCTTTTTATTAAATAAATCTGATTAAATAATTAAAAAATTTGTATGTAAAATAATAAATTAATAAAATTATTTC